ACAATTGCTGTTAGTTTGCATACTGCCTATCAGTGCCAGTTCTGCAACATGACCTACGTATAGGCAAAATACATTATGCCCGGATACACAAAATAATGCAGTACACAGAGAATACTTAGAAATTGGAACAAAACTACCATAAAACAACCCATAGTTGTTTAACAGTTAAGCTCACTACATACAAGCTTCCATTACATGCTTTTATAGATGGATGAAGATCTTAAGAATTTACGCAGATCTGAAATAGTGTCACAATTTGCGATCCGGTTTTGGATTTCGAAAGCTAACTTGGAAAGATGGAATTTCATCATGATGCAAAAAAAATTAAAGAGAAGAGATATCTTCCAGTGTTTTCCTGATCCAAGATCTGACTAATATTCCTATGATATTGAATAACACTAACAATAGCAATAATTTTACTCATGTTTTCCTTCACCAATCTAAAAATGCTCTCAGGGAAAACTTTCCTGATCTGTTATTAGCAGGGTACAAAAATGTCAATTCTAACTAAATCCAAGGATATAAACTTTTTTTTTTTTTTTTTTTTTTTTAAATTCAGTTTTACAGAAGATTAAGAGCAATAGTTCTGTATGAAAAAATTATGGAGCAGTGAAAGGATACAATAAAAGACCCACACCAGTTATATGAGGTTCAGGAAGAAGCAAATGAGTGATCCTGCACAGATTCTGGCATAGCATATGTGAGAAAAGCACAGCTGACATTCAGGCAGTTTCAGACAAGTCATTCAGTGCCATGGCCTTTTTCCTTGGATGAGGATTGATAGAGCAGCACCTGAGGTAACCATTAAAACTAGCCCAGAGTTGTCAGGGGAAGCAAAAGGACATCTCAAATAGTTCTTTTTTGAGCTTTTCAGAGATCGAGTACATGGAATGCTATATTAAGATGTTCTGTTTTCCAGATGTTGATGATTATCACCACCATACATGATCATATCAGATTGCAATATAACCCAGACACGTATTACTCAGGTATTGCAAAAAGCCTGAAGAAGAGATACCTGAAATATCTGCAATTCATGAGTAATTTCAGATACGCTCTGCAATTAAAAAAGGAAAAAAAAAAAAGGAAAGGTTGAGCGAACTGGGATTGTTTAGCTTGGAAAAGAGAAGGCTCCGGGGAGACCTCATTGCAGCCTTCAAGTACTTGAAGGGAACATATAAACAGGAGGGGGTATGACTGTTTAAAAGGGTGGATAGTGATAGGACAAGGGGGAATGGTTTTAAATTGAGACAGGGAGGTTTAGGTCAGATACGAGGAGGAAGTTTTTCACACAGAGGGTGGTGACGCACTGGAACAGGTTGCCCAAGGAGATTGTGGATGCCCCATCCCTGGAGGCATTCAAGGCCAGGCTGGATGTGGCTCTGGGCAGCCTGGTCTGGTAGTTGGTGACCCTGCACACAGCAGGGGGTTGAAACTGGATGATCATTGTGGTCATTTTCAACCCAGGCCATTCTGTGATTCTGTGAATTAATCAGAAAATAAAGCTGCCTATCTGAAAAAAAAAAACAAAACCCAAAAATACAAGAACATCAACACAGATTAGCTGTATTGATGACCACAGCAGTCATTTCTACTGTACAATTCTGTTGGGTCAATAGTATATGCAGTCACTGAAAAACATTAAACAATGAGAAATGTTCTGTTTTTACTTTTCTCAGTGAAAAGCAGACAAAATGAAATCCTTCCATCTTATCTCCATCTTTAACAGAAAGCTGAGTAACTGATAGCTGGTGACCAATCATTAGCAATACCACAACCAGCTGCCACCCTCAGTATGTAATAGAAGTACTAACACAGTTGGCTACTACTTGTGGCATTAAGCCAACTTGATTTTTTCCCTAGAATACATCAGTAACCCACAAAAGCAATGTTCATGACTTATTTGATGACACAAGTCTTTAAAAGAAGCGCTTCAACTTTACACTGATTTTATCCTAAGAATCCCTGACGCAATACTTAGAATAACTAACGTCAAGAAACAAGATACAAAGCTGGATTCATAATATCATTTTTTATTCAGAAATCCACTCTTTTCCTCTAGCTATTCAGATGTTTCTTACAAATAATTTAACGGTTTTCCTTGAATACCACTGCTGGACACTTGTCAATATTTCTCAAGGAAAAACTCTCCACAAGCCAGCAGCCAAAGAGGCCAAGATACTTCTGCTCTAAATGTCTGCTAAAGTGCTGCTACTTATTTAAGGCCAAACAACTTAAACAGCAAAACTATGGAATATGTAACACCACAGCCACACAAAAGCACTTATCATCTTGGTAGCAGACACTGATGTGTCTGACACTGACGTGATACTTCATTCCTACCACTACCAGATCTGCTCTGAAGTTCCAAACAGCAAAATTACATTGCCCGACCAAATAAATCAGACTGACTGCTATTCTCACTGCTGAACAGTAGCTACAGATATCTAGATCACAAAATCAATAAAGTTGGAAGAGATCATTAAGATCCTCTAGTCCAATCCTCAAACCATCCCCACCATGTCTACTGAGCCATGTCACTCAGTGCTACATCTCCGTGTTTCCTGAACATCTCTGTCCTTGGAGGTAACTCCACAAATTCCTTGAGAGCAGACCTGCTAGATTTCCTATTTCTGGGACAGCACAAGTTAGTAGGAAGACTGTGACAGGATCTGCACAGATGCTCTACACTTGTGTTGTGACCATCCTTACTCCAGAGCCCGATTATCTCTTGATATCACCTGCTCCAATGCGTCTCCTGTGCATCTACATGTACTAACAACCACACAGAGCTCCTTAACCCTTCCAGTCTTCCAAAAGAAATAAAACTGCTTCCTCTGTCTTTTCCTCCATTTCCTGAGCTCTGTGATGATCGAGTGAATGCATCTCCAGCCACCATTTTGAGCCAAAGGACTGCAGCAGATACATTTGTCCCTTCTTTGTTTCCTAATAACAACAACAACAAAAAAACCCACCTCTCTTTCAGGTCAGCTCAGTTCAGATTCTGTGATCAATAAACAGATTGAGATGGGGCTTAATAAAAAGCACAGTACACAGACATTTGAAGAAAAGAATCCCTGTGGCCTTTAGGGCTCCTTCTTCAGCAATGTATTACAACACTCTCAACAAGGAGATATGCCCTGTAGCTCTTAGAAAACTCTTGATTATTGGACACAACAATAGCTACTTGTGTGTTTGTACTCACTTGAACAAGCTGGCTGTAGCACCACGCTTAAACTGACCCCAGAAAAAAAGTTCTTTTGGTCTTGTCATATTTGGTGCATCCTTAGCCATGATGCTGGAGTAGATTAAGGCATACTGTAACTGTCTGCTTGGCAGCAATGGAAATAGCCACAGAGAAGCAGTCAGAACATTTATCAACCTCAACATCAACACAACACAGAGGTAGCCATGAAAAGTGCAGTTTCCACTAATGAAATTCAGTGCAGTAATATCCTAATATGAGATCTGCTAATTTCTATATCTAATCCCTTCCTCAAACTGAAGATCTCAATGTGTCTTTCCTTGATTGTCTATAAACAAATATGAAGTTTGTCTTCTCCAGCCAAAAACAGAAAAAGAGAACCTCCTTTATCTTCTGAATCTTTCAGTGTTTCTGAATTAGAGGAAAGAAGGAGGAGGAGAAAGCCTTTATTCTTCTTTTCAGATTTGGAATGTTATCCCCTTGTGACTGAACCAAATCTCTGCATCTGCCACAGCTATTAGTCTTCTCCAAATAGCAACTGAAGCAATATGGAACAGGCTTAATCCCTAGATAATTTCACAACCACTCATATGGTTCTGTATAGCAGCCATGAAAAAGAATCATTCTTGGTAATTTAATTCTTCTGTTGTTTGAAGAAACTATGACCCAAAGCAGGAATTTTGGATGTGTCTCCAGATTCAGGATAACACTGCAAACACAGAAGACAATGCTTGCTGAGATTTCTTTCCAATTTTTTTTAAGGGGACATTATTCCTAGCAAAAATGGTAAAGATTAATCCCCCTTATCTTTTAAAGGAAGCCATATATTTTGCAGAAATTATTAAATCTTCCTCACTTGCACTTGCAAACCTTAAGGTCTAAGACCTCAAGTCAACCTGCCAGCTCATACACTACAATCTTCACTCATGTGTAAGAGAAAATTTCCATCTGCATAGCCCTAACAGTACAGAAGGCACGCCAAAATGGAAACTGCATTATGCAAAGATTAATGACAGCAGATTAGCCTGTATAAGACAGTAAGCAAGAGAATGTCCTGGGAAAAATACAGGCCATCTCTTCCATGTAGACAGCCGTTTTCCTGCAAACAAACTGATGCATAAATATAATAACCTAAAGAAAAATCCACCTCATTATCTGTTACATCGCCAACTTTTTGTTTTGTTGATATTCTGAGAGCGGAAGTGGGAGCTAGTGAAAGAGACAGAAGATCTGGAGGCTTTCCCTTAAACAATTCAAAACCATACATAGGAATCTGCCATGGGATTCTAGCCAGGCACAGAGAGCAAGCAGTGTGATCTGAAATACAAGACAGCGGTAGACAGTTCCCAGGAAACGAATGTGTTAAGCTTTCCATTTTCCACATTGTCTTTTTTTCTTTCTTTTAACATTCTCTGTCCCAGATAAAACATGAATACCTCAATATGACATAACCTGAATGACACAACTATGCAAAAAGCTTCACATACGCAAGCTGTCAGTTCATTACTTTAATAAGCTTTAGTAATCTGCTCATATTGCTTTTCTTAATTAAATGTATCTAGGAGGGATTTCTGTTAAGAAGAACGGGATGCCTGTGAAAATTAATGTGGAAATACTGGACATAATACATGCATCTGTATGCCATTCTAGAGGAGAATGAGAAAATTTTAATATTCTTGCTATGCCTTTACACTTAAATAAACTTTAGCTTTAGTTTTATAAACAAGGAAAGGTTACATTTCATTCTTTTAATGGTCTGAATGCAATTCTGCATTTAAGATTCTGTATACTTTACCTTTTCTGTTGGTTCTAATAATTGTCTCAGACAACAGTAAAGAGCTTCCATTGCAAATTTCATTTATAGGCTTCTCTGGTGGTTTGTTGGCAGTATTTTCTTTCTTCATGTCCTTCTTTATTTCCTGCATAAGGAAAGGCAGGTGGAGAGGGAGAAGAAAAAGAAGTAAAAAAAAAAAAAAAGAGGTATTACAGAATATTCTAAATCTTAAGCTCCCATGATTTCTTATAACTTCTATGTGTACACCATCTATTCTAATGCTTCCCCAAAGAATCTATAGAAGTAGCAATGTCACAAAATGGAAGTCATTTTCAGTAACTCTTCCAACCGATACTTTTTTTTTTTCTTAAAAGGGGCTAAGTCCTTATTTAGGCATGGAAACTGTAGGACAGCTTTGCAGTTCCGTTACTAAAGATTACCAAAGCTGACTAGTGAAAAAAAACTCTGTTTATCCACTCATTAGCTGTACATTTGACACACAGGACAGAACGTGGTTCAGTGTTCCTTCTGCACAGACAGCTAAGTCTGCTTCCCCTATGTCAAGAAGCCCACAGAAACAACAACCACGGCAGGAAGAAAAATATTAAATAGGAAAATATGACAAATGTTTCCATAATTGGCAGAAGCATATAGAGCTGCTGTCAGAGCTGTTGCTAACCCTAGCACATTTTGCAACTGACAGCCTTTTAAGGTGATCATCCTCTTTGGCAGCGCACAGAAAACATGTGGTGGAGCAAAGCTTCATGAAAGTAAACCTGTGGACAGGGAACTGTCACATCAAAGAGGCTAGGCCATTTGTCTATTAACCACCATCTACCAAAAAAAAATAAAATCACAAGAAAATTTAGGCTTTGGCTCCAAGCTTTGCCCTAGGTCAGGAGGGGAGAACTCTTGTGTTCTTTGCTCCATCCTCCAGCTCCAAGCAGGGAGGGCAGCCATCTTGGGTCAGACCAGGCTGCTCGTAGCTTTGGTCAGGTCTTAAAAAATTTCCAAAGACAGAAACTGCACAATTGCACAAGCAACCTGCTCCACCGCTTGATGGATTGTGAAGAACATGTTCCCTATGCCCAGCTTGAACCTTGCTTTCTGTCTGCTCCCTGGATCATGCCCAGCAGAACTTGCTCCAGTCTACTGATATTTTTTCTGGTACTGATGGAATCAAAAGTGGTTGCTCTTCTCTGGATGTAGAGCAATGTGCCAGGTAAAGGAAAATACCAGTTCTCTCAATCTGCAGGTTGTGGGTCTGTTACGTAGCCCAGGAAACTGCTGGCAATGTTTGATGCCAAGGCACAAGACTAGCTCCTGTTCAGCAGGATCCACAGGCCCTTTTCAGCTGAGCTACTCTCAAACCCATAAGGCCCCAGTCAGTATCCAGAGATTCCTATTTTCCAGGGGCAGGAGGGCATTTGCCCTTTCCGGGATTCTTAAGGGTCCTGTATGGGTCCCTCTGGACAGCAGTTCTGACTTCAAGCATGTCAACTGACCCCTCTCCATTTCATGTAATTTGCAAATTCGATGAAATCCTCTCCATTGAACAGACATTGGAGACAGGTGGTGGCTTTGGACAGACTCTTCCCTCAGTAAAATGAAAACTTCGACCCTGAGAGCTGTCCTTCAACTCTTACATATTTGCTGCCCTCCTGTACATCACAGCACAGCAGCAACCTCTATCATCCCACACAGCATGATGGATCTCCTTCAGGTTTTCACCATATTAGCCATTAGGAAACACTTTCTTACCATGAGGGTGGTTAGACACTAGAATAGGCTTCCTAGTAAGGCGGTTGATGCTTTAAGCCCAGTGTTCAAGAGGCATTTGGACAATGCCCTCAATAACATGCTTTAACCTTTGGTTAGCCCTGACGTGGTCAGACAGTTCCCTTCCAACTTAACCATCCTATTCCATTCTGACTAGGACTTTTGCACTGTTTCTTGGTGGTATTTTGATTACAGCAAATACAGTTGCTCTCTGACTAGCTACAACTCCCACCCTCTGTGGGCCGATATGCTCTTAAGTAGGCCAATGGGGACTGGACAGGTACTGCAGGACATCCACATCATGCTGAAATCTCCTCCAAGCCACATAGCAAGAACACCTTGATACAAGACAGACCAAACTCAGTGACCTTGAAAGCCCTTTCCAGAATTATGTTCACCAGACAAATATCCATGGAGAGCCCTGCATGGCCTGCCCACAGACAGGTACACTCTCACAGTGCCAATAGCTTCAGAAGTACCTCAAAACCGCTTCTTTGGTACCCTTTTATACTTGATTCTGAGGCAGTGCCCAGTATAAACTTCATGAGTCGAAACGCTGCATTTTTCCTAGCCCAAGCAAAGATAATTGCAGGTTATTAGATCATTTTCCAGAGCTATTCCTTGGGAACTCCTGAAGTAAGCAACCTCACATTTCAACCACTAAATTTAAATCAGATTCTCCGATGCCACAAGCAGTCTCCACAGATTCAGTCTCCATCTCCTGTGTATGTGGGTTTTAGAGTGATTTCAACATGATGAACAGTTCTTTCTGGTAAGAAAGATCTTTTCTAATTGTATCCCAAACCATTATAAATCACAGAAAAATATTAAGGCAATCTCAATAAGCTTGTGCACTTTAGAATACTACAGTATTGACTGTGATAAAACTCCACCAGGTAGCAAAATTTAACACAATACCTGTATATCTGTGCCCTATTAAATGACCATTTCAAATTAGGAAATCTAGACATTAAGAACTTTCCTCTTTTCATAAGTATTTTCAAAAACTGTTACTCATTGACAGAGCAGCCTTCATGCCTTGTCAAGCTGGGGAGAAAAACAAAATGGGAATATAATAGTCGTCAAGGAGAAAAGTCTTTGGTCCACCCGTAACTTCTCATCTTCTTTTTAGGATTTAGCTTTGGGTTCAGAATTTCATCACCCATTACCTTTTGAGGAAAAAGTCTTATCTGTGTGCCTAGCACGCTGAAGTTCGTGCTCATCTATCAAAACGTTTCCTTTAATTTACAGTAAGTTCTTGAATCATGCCACTCACAAGAGTTACAGTCAATGTTTCTTTCAGAAAGTACTTGATAACAAAGTCCAAGAACTTCTGCCATGTTCACTACATGAAAGCTTCAAGACTTTTTTTTTTTTTTTTTTTTTTTACAGTTTTGACCTTTACAGGAAATTCAACCAAAGTTATTTGAGGAAATTGCTGCAACCCTTTCCATGACAGTAAGCGCAATGAAATGCTGTTCTATGCTGATGTAAATATGAAATGTTTCATCCAGCCATTCATTCCCCATTTTTTTTGGAAGCCATGAAAAGTTATGAGAAAAATCACTACAATACTTCAAAGTGACTTACATACGACTTTTGCATGCAAGGAGATTCTATATTCTGCAGGTGAGAGGTTTAATTAGAATCACTCAAAACTTCTTGAAAACAAAACACATTCATACTGAGAGTTAAAAGATGAAAAATAATGAGGCGTTCACAACTCGAGCTTTTACAGCCTGTACATTGCTTGAAGCCAAATATGGGAGTAGGATTAAGAACTCAGAATCATGTGCCGCCCATGGGAAAACTGCACAACACGTTCAAATTATCAAAAGATGACAATGGAAATGTCAGAAGCATTCTGACCCCTCTAAGATTCAGTGTGCAATGCCAGATCTTGAGAAGGCTTTTCCTTTAATCTCTTCTCTCAGAAACCACGCTTTACACTTCAAGAGACAACTGCCACCACAATTTCCTGCAAAAAACATTCTGCAACTTCAAACAGTATACAAATTCCATTACCCATTTATACTGAAACCTCAAAATACAACTCTGCTGCAATGTTCAGTCTTCCCAAGTCATTTTCTTTGATACTGTCACTAGTTAAGAAGTACTGAGTAATTATAAATGTACTTACATATAAAGGTAATTCCAATATCGAGAAAACTCTCATAGTTTTACTACAAAATAAACAATGCAGCTGGAACAAACCTTCCCAGCAACTGAACTAGCATCAATGTGAAAATTGTTTTCAATCAGAAACATGGTGGCAGCACTAAAATCCAGCACAAGTCTTGAACTCTATGAACAGCAAAATTACTACTCTATCCTGGGCTGCATCAAAAGAAATGTGGCCAGCAGGTCAGGGGTGGTGATCTCGCCCCCCTACTCTGTGCTGGTGAGAGCTCACCTGGCATACTGCGATGTGGAGACCTCAGTACAGGAGAGACACGGACCTGTTGGAGCACATCCAGAGGAGGGCTACAAAAATGATCCAAGGGATGGAACAACTGCTGTATGAGGACAGGCTGAAAGAGCTGGGGCTGTTCAGCCTGGAGAGAGAAGGCTCTGGGGAGGCTGGACAGCAGCCTTTCAGTATCTACAGAGGAGCTATAAACAAGAAGGAGACAGACTCTGTAGCAGGGTCCCGTGTGACAGGACAAAGGGAAGTGGTTTCTAACAAAAAGATGGGATATGTAGATCAGATATAATTTTTTTTTTTTTTTTTTTTTTTTTACAATGAAGGTGGTGAGGCACAGGTTGCCCAAAGTTGTGGTGGCTGCCCCATTCCTGAAGACACAGAAGGTCAGGCTGGGCAGTGCTCTGAGCACCCTGATCGAGCTGTAGGTTTCCCTGCCCACTGCAATGGAGTTGGACTAGATGGTCTTTAAGTGTCCCTTCCAGTTGCTATGATTCTATCATTCTGTGATCTAAACTTAAAAGCAACCAAAGTAATGCTCTTGAACTAATAAGCAACAGTTCCCTACTGCGGGATTTCATATCCTCCCTCCTCTTTCACTGTCTGCTTTCCCCTAGTTTATAGCAAACACTTGCCCAGATGCCTATCAAGCACGTGACAATCTTTAAATAAAGCTCCTGAGCCTCCTGCCTGTGCTAGTACCACCTCGTTCTGGGGTTATTTGTAAACCACAGCCTCCTAAGCCTCTCTCAATGAGTTCTTTGGTTTCTGCATCTTAACTTCAAAATCAAGTCTATTTCTGTGGCACACATGATTTCTATCTGATTTAGGGCCTGATGCAGAAAAGCATTATTTGTTGACTGAGCTTCACAGGCCAAACAGCCTCTCCACTCCAACAGCAGCAGTATGTAGAACAAAACATATTAAGGATAAAAGCTCTGACA